TTGTATCCTGTCTCTTTGTGGTCGTATTATGTCTGTTTGTGGTTGTATCCTGTCTCTTTGTGGTTGCTTTGAGTCTCTGTGGGTGAATCGTGCCTCTCTGTGGATGTTTTGTGTCTGGTTGTGTTTCTGTTTTCAGGTTGATTTGAGTCTTTTTAGTTGTATTGTGTCTCTCTGTTTGTTTTGCATTATATTGTGGTTGTTGATGTGACTTTCCAACAAGACGTTGTAGACAGTCCCTTCATGCGGGGGTGGGTGGGGGGGTGCAGTGAGCACAGCTGAAGGTCTGCTGTAGTGAATCGAAGTGACAGCCATTTCTTCAGTGACCTGTATGATCTGTATCTATGACTGTGGCTTGGCTGCGCTGACTTAGAGCGTGGCAGCAGGCGGTTCCATGTGTAGACCCTGGAGGGCCGAGGCTCTGCACAACCTGCCTCGGCCTCACGTCTGATACTGTTACCATCTGTCTGCACCGTTTGCTTCACTTCAGGAGCTGATTCAGAAAAAATACTGTGGTGTCAAAGGCACCAAACGGGAGTGTTGGATTTTTTTTGTGCAGGTTTTCTTAGAACAGTTGACTTATTATGAGAATAGTTGCTGAAAATGTATCTGCTGATTGAATATTTGATTAATTGATTTGTTGCAGTTCTACTGATCACAGTCTGAAGAAGTTACACACAGAGATGCACCAATCTGAAATGTTTCTTCTAAGACTCATACTTAAACTCTGGGTATCTGCCAATACTGTGACGAAGATATATTCTTATCACACAGTTGCAGTTATAATTGTAATTGCTCTCTGTAAATTGTATAACGCAGACAGTGAATAAAGTTAATAATTATCGGCCTATAATTTTCATCAATAGCAATATAATTAAAGTCAAATATATATCAATGTAATGCTTATGCAAACCTTAGTTTTTAAAAGAAATGTATTGGTTGATACTTTAAAGTTTGAACTTAAAAGAAAGCAATTGGTTGCCAGATGAGCTGATACCGGAACTTCAATGACGTTGTTGAGACAGTTGAAGAAATGTGATTAGATCTTCACCAATTTCTTTTCCAGTTATATTTATACAAAAAATCAACAGCATCTATTTTTAGAAACAAGAAAACGTACATGAGAGCACGTGTATTATTGTAATTTTAAGCCAACTGCAACAACCCACTTCTCAAATGTAGAGCGTAAAGGGAGGAGAGGCCTAACCCGCTCTTCTGACCTACTTCTACTAATGAAGCAGATTTTTCTGGTCATGAAAAAGTCCTATTATTGTCTTCTCTATTTTCTCCATAGACATGTCAGACGTAGTTCCTCCAGAAGTGAGACCTAAACCTGCCGTCCCTGCCAAGCCCCCAAATGTGGGTGCTCCTTCCCCCTCGAGCCCCTTCCCACCCCAGGGGCCGGGCATCGGAGGAGGCGTCGGCGTCCCTGCTCCCCTACCAAGTGGTATTCCAGTCCCAATTGGGAGTCATGCCTCCGGAGCCAGTCATGGTATTGGCCATGGCGTGGGCCACGGTGCCGGCAATAGTGGGGGTCATGCTGCAGCGCACAGCGGAGGTCATGGCCACACTGGCTCCCATAGCTCTGGTGGGGGGTCCACACTGCTGGGATACATTGGCATCGACACCATCATTGAGCAGATGAGGAAGAAAACCATGAAGACAGGATTTGACTTCAACATCATGGTAGTCGGTAAGGCACAGTGGGATTTGTCTCTGGATCTTCTCTTACACCTGCACAGTTTCAGCGTCTCATTTTCTCTCACATGTGTGGCCCTCCCTCTCGTCTCAGGTCACAGCGGTCTGGGAAAGTCGACTCTTGTCAACACCTTATTCAAGTCCCAGGTGAGCAGGAGGAGCGCAGGATGGTCCCGTGATGACAAGATCCCCAAAACTGTGGAGATCAAATCAGTGTCTCATGGTGAGTAAAGAGAGAGAGAGAGAGATTCACAAGATTTGTGTGTGTGGAGAGTTTCAATTTGTTTCTTATCATATTTGTAAACATGTAATAGAATCTGTAAATGCATATAGGAATCCGCAATGAGGTTTGCAAGTAGGCTAAGTCAAAGCATTCCAAGGGACATACACGAGGGGTCCCCTGAATTCCCTCTTTCTTGTAGGTGGCCGTTGGTTGAGTAAAAATGGAGAACCTCTACATAAAGGCACGGCTGTTGACATCAGCTGTGATTTATAGCATTTGGTAGAATGAAATTATGATCATTGAGATTCTGCAATGTTATTTGTTTAAAGTCCATCATGACTAAAACACTGACTTCTTCATGACAGATAGAATGTAGTCATCTGTCGGTACAGATTGTTCCTGACCTACCGAGTCCCTTTGGATTGTAGCTTTAACTTGATGGAAATGAGTCAGTCCTGGGAGTAACACAGGTGCATCAGAAAGTCTTTTCATTTTTTTATTCTTTCTCAGAGTGTAGACTTTAATCCAGCAAGTCTACGTTTGTCTTCCATTTCCATAAATTAAAAAAAATAGGACATTTCAAATGAAAATCACATTTTGCAGTTGGTAAAAGGAGGTTTGACAGAGTGTTTTATAGATTTAAGCTTTGTTAGTTTATTTTGTCTAATAAGAGTTAGACTTTTCATAACGGTGAAGATTTAAAGCCTAAAATGGTTTATTGACAGTGGTGTGATGAATTTTCCTCATAAAACGTGTTTCTGAAATTCTTCCATGACAAACAGGCTTCCTGCTGGAATAAACTGAGCAGCAACAGTCAGAGTGAATTAACTCGGGGTCATTGTTTAATGATCCATTTTAAAGTCATTGTGTGTCACATTTAAAAACTATTCTGACAGTGGCACCCCTCCCCCAATGTGACACTTTGGCAGACAGCTTTGTACGACATTTAAGAAATCAGTTGGTGACTGTTGATTGTGTCACACAGTGTTGTGCTTATCTTGACATCCGGGACTGCTAATGGGACAGATCTGGCATTCCAGTTCGGGAGAGATTGAACTAATTTTATTGTTTATTATATTGCTTTGGCGCTCAGGCCCCCCCCCAGGGGTTTAGACACTGGTGGTGGTTGATGGAATAGAGAGAACGTGCTGAAGATCTGAGTGTGATGATGAGTGGAGTGGAGGTGAAGGGGGAGGAGGAAGGTTGCACAGAATCACTGAAATCACAGCTAATCGCAATAAAGAGTGGACAGACAACAACAAGATGATTGGCTGATTGTGGCGAATTCTGATTGGACTAATGAAAACACCTACAGTCAGCCGACTAGAAAAAAGCGAGGCGATCCAAAGAGAGAATTGTGAGTAAATGAGTCATAGAGTCGACTTACGCTGAGCTTAATTTACATACAGTATGTCCTTGATGAGTTATCAGAGTGGTGGTGATGTGTCAAACCCTTGGACTGGACTGGACTCAGTGTTTAGCTGCTACTGTTTTCACGATCATACACACACACTGCCTTATTGGGCCTTGGTGGATGTATGCACTCTACTGAGAGCCATTCTAGTGTTTGTCTTGTTTGTTTGTTAGCAGGATTACGCAAAAACTACTCAAACAATTTCCATTAACTGTTGTGGAGGGATGGGGCAATGACTCAAGGAAGATTCAATTTTGGTGTGGATCTGGATCAGGGGGCAGATCCGTGTTTCGAGGACTGTTATTTATGACTGTTTGGTGCGGATCCAAATTAGAAAACTGGATCTAGTGAATTTAAATATGGGTTCACGAGGGGACTGTTGGGCCTTGGCAGAGTGTGTGCACTGTGCACTCTGAGTGTCTTTGTAGTTTTTCATTGTGTGGACATTTCCATTATCAAATACACATTAAATACAGATTAATGAGTTTTCTTTTTTTCCAGTCATTGAGGAGGGTGGAGTGAAGATGAAGCTGACACTCGTTGACACGCCAGGCTTTGGGGACCAAATAAACAATGACAACTGGTGGGTTTTTAAACTCCTGGATCAATAAAGCCTGATAAATATCTTCATTATTAACTACTTTTCTGCAAAAAATGTTTTATATTTAGTCCAATTTCCCCCAAAAGACTTTCTCAACTAACATTTTTTCTCCCACGCTCACTTGTTTCTCTTGTATTTGAAGCTGGGAGCCCATTTTCAAGTACATCAACGAGCAGTATGAGAAGTTCCTAAAGGAGGAAGTCAACATCACCAGGAAAAAACGCATCCCCGACTTCAGGGTGCACTGCTGTCTCTACTTCATCTCCCCAACTGGACACTCGTGAGTTGAATAAAGAGATGAGTAAAGTGATCAGTCAGACCAACTGCAGACCCACACACACACACACACACACACACATTAATTCCCATCAGTAAAGCCTGATGACATTAGTGCTGCTTTATATTACAGCCAACACATACCTCTATGTCTCCTCTGAACACTTGACAATTAGCTGTGGCTGACAGCTGTTAAATTGCTTTTTAATGGATGAACGGATACAGTCTGTTGTGTGTTATGGCCGCTGTATATGATCCTTCTTAGCCGGGAGTAATCGAGACAGACAGGACGTTTTGTGTGCAGTCAAACAAGAACTGCGACGTAACCTTTCTGCAGTTATAAGCCCAACTCTTCCAAAGCATTCGCACTGGAAATATTTTGTAATTGCTATAAGACCAGGGAAAGGTATGAGAGATGACTAATAAAATCCCTGTGCCTCCCTCTGCTATTTGTTACCCTGCGTGCAAGCTCTCAAGAAGAATCAGGGTTCATAAATATACCCACCAACTCACTTCCCTGTCTCCTCTGTCATGTCTCTCTTAGTCTTCGGCAGCTAGACATCGAGTTCATGAAGCGCTTGAGTCACTCAGTCAACATTATCCCTGTCATTGCCAAAGCAGACACGATGACCATTGAGGAGCGACAGGATTTCAAACAGCGGGTGAGTTTAAGATTGTCCCAGTGAAGATGGAAATAAATTCGGCTTATTGCAGGGAAACTAGTTTCAGTGTAAACATCGTCTGATATGTAAACGAGAAAAGTCAGCATAGAAATAACTCAAATTACCTTATACGATATGAAATGAATAGCTACAGAGAATAATCACCTATTGCTACAGTTCCCCTCCGCTCTACAGAATTTCGTAGCGTCTACTAACTCTTTGAGTTTTACTGGTCAAGACTTAAACCAATTTCAGAATAGAGTGAACATTAGATTTAGTTTTTTCAGTTGGCGAGAAAAATTAATCCAATTAAATGTTGATGTTACTCTGCATCCACTGGATGTTTAAACAAGCCTTTGTTTATTCATCATATTGACTTAACAAGGTGATGATATGTCAATCCTGTGTTTTCAGCTGGTTTTCACTGCCCTCATGTGGACAAAAATATCATTTAATCCAAGTTTTAAAATATAGTTCAGATGATCTTTATAATATATGTTTGTTTTGTGTATGTATAGAATATCAAGATATCAGATATAACTTATTGGATTCATTAATTCAGAGTTTCGTTTGATTTAACGACACATGTCAGATGTGTTTGGACCTTCTTGCACTTAAATCTGTTCTAAAGCGCTTCACTAAGGGCGAATCAAAATAACAAATGAACAAAATATCAAAGACAACCAACTAATACAATATCTTTATAATAATATGTTTAGAATCTAAGACAAATAGTGATAAAGCACATAAAACTGTAGAAAGTAATGGGATGAAGGATGAAGATGTCGTGTTTTTTTCTGTTGTGTCTTGCTGTAGGTAAGAAAGGAGTTGGAGATGAGTGGGATTGAGTTTTACCCACAGAAAGAGTTTGATGAGGACATGGAGGACAAGAGCGACAATGATAAGATCAGGGTAAGTGGTTCTTCTGCTGGTTCTGTCTCACGCTGTTGTCCCATGATTTTCTTCCAGACAATGACTCCTACCCCTCCCTTCTTCTCTCTCTCACCCTCATGCTCTGCTTCCTCTGAACATAATGTCAGGACTCAGGGAAATGTTGTGCGTTTGTTTCATTTCATGAACCTTGTGAGAAACTGTCTTCAGCACAATGAACAGTGTGAACGTTTGTCCACAGGAGGCGATGCCCTTCGCTGTGGTCGGCAGTGACAAAGAATATCAAGTGAATGGCAAACGGGTTCTGGGGAGGAAGACAGCATGGGGAATCGTGGAAGGTGGGTGACATGGGCTTTCTAAAGAAGTCCCATACAGTCAGGATATTGTTTGTCTAAGTAAAACACCTGAAATACAAGATATGACATTTGATTCTTTCTCTTTTTGTTGCAGTTGAAAATCCCAACCATTGTGAATTTGCTCAGCTGAGAGATTTCCTGATCAGGTAAGAAAAGGTGTTTTAAGTAGTAAGTATTGAAATCTAAAATTAAATTGATAAACTTGACAAAATGAGCAGTTAGACGCTATGACATTTGATAAGGATTTGACAGATTGACATTGGTCATATATATATATATTTTTTTTTTAAAGTCAATGATTCCTAAGATGACATCATCAAACCATTTTTTGCAAAAATAACTTAAACTTGATAATAAATAGCTATCAATATAGTTTGTGAGAGGATGTCAATTATAGATTTTACACTTTTACAAATTCCCATAGTTTGAATTACTTTCTAAATCCAGTTCTTCTTTTGGAGTTGGCAGAATTTCAGCACTATATTCAACTAAAACATAAAATCACTTAACTATATTTCAGAAACACATGAACACAGATGCCTCCTTGTTCCAAATACATAAGAAACTAGTAACATGCTCCCTCTGTGTTTGTGTTTGTGTATTCCTTTTTCTCAGGTCCCACCTCCAGGATCTGAAGGAGGTCACTCATAACATTCACTATGAAACTTACCGAGCCAAGAGACTGAACGAGAACGGAGGTCTACACCCCATATCCTCCAATGGCACTCAAGAAAGCAACCTGTAGTCAGTCAGTCAGTCAGGGGAAGAGTTGAGTGAAAATGAAGTTGTGCAATGATGCTGATAGATGAAGCCACAGAATAATATCATCACATAGATCTGTTAAAAATAGTGTCATTTAATTTTTCAAAAGCAATCCTGAAACATATCAAAACCCCTTTAGTTCAATTTCAGAGTCATTCCCCTTAATATTTGGATGAAATGTGATTCCCACCCAGAGATTTAGTGCCATTCTAAAAGGGAACATTTTATCTACTGCCAAAGTATTTTCATTCATCATTGTCTGGGTAGCATGAGCTTAGAAGGTGCCATGTTATTGTGTGTATAAGAGGCTTATTTTAAAGTTTTTGTGTTGTGTAGCAACTGATGTTTAAATTCAGGAAAATGATCTGCTTTGCTCTCAATATAAAAATCCTAATACCTGTGTAGCCAGTTGACTCTGTACTTAGGTGTTTTTTAATCCTCATTTAGCCACTGCTCATTTGAAGAAACCCTGTGGCTCTGTTGTCAGGACGACTTAACAAACAATACAAGCTCGGCTGTCTCCTTCTGTACTCAGATGCATTTTCTCTAATCAATGTTCCCTTGTGCTGTTTGATTTGATCATTTTGAAATAGTTTGAGCAGACCTGCGAGATATGACTAGAGACAGCTGCTACGTCAGGCACATGACATGCAGTCCTGTGAGCAGCAGTGTGTGTAATGCAGGACTCCACTGGTTGCATGACTGAGCTCACTCCAGATTCTGTGACTCCATGATTCACCACAATAGAGCAAAACACAAAGTGAAGGGTTTGGGACAGTACAGCTCAGGATACTCTGTTGCACCACAGTGAGCACACAGGACAGAGGAGTCGTCCAATGCATTTGTGCTGTGTTCTCCTGCATTAGTTGACTATGTGTTTTTACAGTGATGATAGAGAATAATTATACAACAAATCAGTTGTTTTATTATTATTCAATTTTCGTCAAACATTTTTCTGACGGACTAGAATGACCTATTTTACCACTTAAATTAACTTCATGCACCCGTTTTAATGTTGATTTAAAAGCCTGCAGTGATTAAGTTCAAATTATTTTATTCATATGAATAAATAGTATGGCTAATAAAAATCGAATTTCACATAACAACAATTGCCATATATAGTGCAAATGAATGACATTTTTTGCTCAAGTTTATTTTAGTTTGCTGATATGTGCCATGCAGAGTTTTACTGAACACAGCAGAGTTCTGACTCAGACACAAAGGACAGTATAGTGCCTGGTTTTGTATTGATGCCAGTTTAAACTTTCTCTTGTTCACCACTTGGTGGCAGCATTCTGTCGCATAAAAGTAGTGACTCAGCAAAACAACAAACAGGTTTTCAATCCAGCTGTGATTCATGCTGATTCAAAACTTATTTAACCTGATCTCATTTCCCAGTGATGTTAACAGAGTTTTGGTCCTTGGTTGCTGTCAGTACTATATCTCTCCAGATCCTTGTTTACATAAAGCTTTAAGCTTTAACCCAATGGTATGCACTCACACCGCAGGTTATAAACATGTTTACCAAATTTCCGCACAACATTGACACTTTTCTGCCATGAACCGTCTGCAGTAGAGCACAAAGGTGCCAAAACGATTCGTTATTTAATCTTTTCAATACCTATCAAGATTTAGTTTGTCGTTGAATTAATGATTTTATACAATCATACACGTTTGTGTGATTTTGACATGAAGTGTTGTGCTGCAACAAAAACATTGTAGTTGTCTGTGGTTTTAGTGCAGTCAAAGGATTTCAAGCAGACATTTGAAAGTGTTTATGTGTGCATGCGTGTATCCATGTTGCCTGTTTGCCTATACAGCCAATCTGTTCACATATCACTGCAACTTATCAACTATTTCTGAGTGTGTGACGTGTACATTAAATTGTTACATCATAAGTTAGAGCGCTGCTGTCTTAACTCGTGTAACTACACTGACGGCCCACCACCCACATATCACTCATCCCTTTGAATCAGTAGAACTTCACAGTGCACATTTGCTTAATAATCACACATTTAGAGATAATTTCAGGTGTCATAATGACTTATTTAAACATTAACGTTTTATTGTATTTATTCTTTATTTAATAAAAACACATTTCCATGTTTCTTGAAAGAATTGTTTCGATGAGTCTCTCAAAAATCATCAATTTAAATTAAGTATAATACAAACATTCACATCATACCATTGAAATGCTAGAATTAATATTTGTGATATTTTCCAGCAGTTATGATAAATATTTATCTCCGTTTGGGAGCTGTTGCATATATTTCAAATAAATAATGGTAATTATACATTTTATGGAAAATAGCCCGTTCTGTGTTTGTGTCAAGGGAAATTACTCGTCTCCTGTTTGTGTGAGCTGGCCCACCACCTGCAAGGCCAGTCATGCCATTCAAGAAAATGACTTGTGATATCCACCATGAACTGCTTTAATGTGTACGGAATTCTTAATGAAGACATATATCAACAGGTTATTGTGGGTGTACAGCTCACAGCTGCCTGGATGCAGAAATATTTGCTATAAAATGTCATATATCTAAATAAAGATTCTTGTTGATTTTAATTGGATGCGCTCCACTGAATCAACAGCTTGTTGTGATGTAATCACATGATAGTGCATGTTTTTAGGATGAGGGTCATTATTCTGACCTCATCACTGCTTTCTAATGAGGAAGGATTGACATTAGGGAAGTATCTTTGTGTCAAGTCAAAAAATCCTCGACACTGGTATAGCTGCACAAACAGGGTGTTTTCACAACTGTGTGTTTGTGTGTGTGTGTGTGTGATAACTCGATAGGAAAATTACTTGGGAGGGTATCTCTCGATGATTGACTTTTGAGTGTCTCTCAATGGTTAACAATTTAAAAACATTGGGTTTTTGTTTTTACATCACATGATGTCATATGATAGGTAACGTGATTACAAAGTTAAAAAAAAGTAATGACAACATGCATGTCTATATGACATGACCCAAATCATATGGATGGATCGACACATTTTTCATGATCGTATTGTAGTAATGTCATCATGATGTCACAACTTTACAACCAACAACATCATAGACACGATCTACCTCTTATTTAGATTAACGAATCATCCATCATCATATAGTATAAATTATATCATTATGAAATGTCATAAGAGTTAGCATTGCATGATGGGTATTCAGTGTACAGATGCTTTTCATTACCTTTGTGCCAATATTTTTTTCTTTTGTGGTGTTCCACATGGTTCCATCTTTGGACCGATACATCTTTCTCCAAAACCATTTAAACCTTAAAGGGATAGTTCAGCGAGTCTCAGGGGTAAACAACATTTAGGCTTACAACATTTGTGAATGACGCCGTGTCAGGGCTTCCAGACACTTGGATGACAGCACACGAGCAGTATGGAGGCATTTTATATTTTTTTACTGTTGTGTTATTTCGGCTGAAGAAGGAATCCCCAGTTACATCAATTGTATTGTATTTGGCTGCAACACTGTTTACCCCTGAGACTCCAAAAGTGTTTTGTGGACTCAAACACTTCACTCACCCTTCCATCATCTGTTTTGGATTCAGAGCAATGTTTTCAGTTGAACAACGGATGGTTCCCTTTAAGTTGATGAGGTTTAGGTCACAGAGGTTCAGGCTCAGGAGTGAGTACCACTGTTTTGCATGATTGATAGTCAGGGCAGACATGGTGCTGTACTGAGGTCCAATGCATCAAATTGGCCTGCAATGTATCACAAGATCCCTCACTTCTCGTATTGGCAGTTTTTTTTAATGTGGCTCTTTTACAGAGCATCCAGTTCTGGAAATCAGACCTCAGAACTGGTTCTAAGGCATCAAGCAAACAGCATCCTTCTTTTAACCAAAGGTCTTTATGCCACGTAGCCATCAGATCTCAGGCTTCAAGCTTGGGTGTCTGTTAGCGTTAGGTAACACAGGTCAAACCATAGAGACTGTACGTAAAGATGGATGACATGACTGCTCCTCAAAAGTGACGCCAAAGCGTCTTGATTGCCACCTGGTGGCTGGCTGCAGTTCAAGTCATAAACACCTCCTCCTCCATGTTAGTGGATGGGACATGGACAAAAATAAAAAGTTTAAGTACATGTCAAATTATTTTCCCAGTTTCTGACATTGTAGGTAGTTCTTATCACAATGATGTGTTAGAATGCTCATTTTTTCCACTAACTTTGGTTTTAATTAATTATTTGATGCTAAAATAATGGGGAGAAACATTGTGATTGACAGCTGAGACTGACTCATGTGTAACATTCTCAGAGCTCCAAACCCCAATCGCTACTCTGCAGATGATGCCTCCAAATGCGTGAGATGGTAGTTTGGCTTAAATTGTGAGAAAGTGGAGACATATAATCATCTTAATTTCTATGGTTCAAATGCTGCAGCTGGCTTTCCCCATTTCCAGCCACAATATTGCTAAATAAAATGCTAAATACCCTGAAAGTAGCTTTGAATCTGCATGATCCAAAGGGGACACACCTTTTGCCATTAAAAAAAAAACTATTGCCTTTACCTTTCCATTAATATCGCTCCAGCCCTCCAGGAGAAACCTTTTACATTTTAGCCACATGTAGGCTAAGAGTAGGAAAACCAAACCACCTGAAACGCTTTGTATTCTAAGGAAATAATTCTTTGAAAGAAGTTCAGGTGTTGAATTTTAAAATTTTCCATGTTTTAGTGTAGCTGAGAAGCAAAAAGAGGGAGAGAAACTGTGGCCATTTTCTTTTAAATAACCAAAATATCTCATTCTTGTGCAACATAGTTATGCCGACGTGTGTGTTATCATGAAGCATCTTACCAAACACTTTTTTTCAGTGTCATGAAAAAACAACAAAAAATTCCAACCATTGCCTCTAGATGTCACTAAACCAAGTCATTCTTGGCATTTCTGTCTATTAGCATTTCAGACTGTGTGAACCTATTTCTATCGGTCTATTTTTTACAAAACTGTTATTATTTCTTTAATTTGCCACAACACTAGTCTTGCTTATTATGTGTAATAGAGTATCCCGGCTGTTTTTTAAAATTTATTTATCAACCTTAAATTACTTTCTGGTAAAATGGATGAGGTAAAAATGATGGTGAGTAAAAGTGACACATTCATTTAAGTCCAAGTTTGAGAGATCAAGTCAATTGTTAAGACATGATACGTTCAGAAGTGGCACAGATCCACTGGAGACAGAAATGAAATAAAAAAATCATTTCAGCCCTAAACAAACAATGAAGACACTGCTCAAGGTTTGGAACAGAATGGAATAACAGACATTTTATTTATTTCTGTATGTCCATTCAAGTCTTTGTCTTTCACTGGGAAGAATGCTGTTTATTTTGGCAGTCTAGCGGGAGGCTTTCTTTTTCAACTTGTTAGACTTAATTCGGAGAAGTGCAACATACATATATATACAATTTTATTTTATTTTTTTCTGTGTCATGCCAATGCATTTGGTCCATTGCATTCTGGGATCACAAGACACAAAGTTAACAAAACATCTTCTGGTACTACAAATACAAATTTTGAAAGAATAAAAAGACACACACATAAAGAGAAAGAAAAGTCAATAGAAATCCCCAGTGAACGTATCACATACAGTACTATTAAATTGACTTGAGAAAGAGTTTCCTCTTCTTCTTCCAGGCTTTCTCGAGATAACTAGCTACTTTTCATGTTTCGTACGTACACAGCTATGTCTTTCTTTGCGCGTCCTCCACATTCACAAACATCGCTGCCTTTATTATTTTTTCACAGCTCCTAAATGGACATGCACTGTTTTCCATTTTCACTGTTGTGCCCTCTGCTGTCCTGGTGGGGAAATTATTTAATTTGCTAGTAAACTTGCTACTTTTTTCTTGAAATATGGTGTTTTCTTGCTTTCATTGAAAGCCCTGATATACATAGTAACATCCAGCATTATTTCGCTGTTGTTAAACATTGCCTGTAGTTTTGTGGTGTGACTCTCTCAGTTGACTCTGCTCTTATCAGTAGCCTTTCAGCCGATTGATTATGTTGAACTTAAAGTGAGGGCGGCCTGTCTCTCAGCTGGCTGCTCAGCATGGCTAATTTTTGTGTAAGATTTCTCCTTATTCTTCACTTCAACCTTTTTCCTTTTCCTACCAAAAGCAAAAACTTGGCACGGCCACTTGATCTCAGACACTCTCTTATATTCTGATTGTACAACAATATTTTTTACATTCATTGCTAACACATGGAATAGAGAACTGAAACTAAAATTTCTCGTGCAAGTCTCTGTGCATGTCAGCTGGCAATCAACTGTGGTCTTATAAATTAGTAAATGTGAGGCGATATACTGTTAATTCAAATCAGTTGTTTGAGCAGTCTGCCTTTAGCTCGTTTAGACAGGGAAAATCGCTTTAGTTAATGTTTGGTAAACACGCTACCTATGTTGTACACAACATCACACTGTTGATTTTATTAAAAATGTATATGCAAATTCTTCTTCGACCGTTGCGATAAATGTCTTTCCTTGTTTTGTTTTTTTCGTGATTTACTGACGATTCGGAAAAGCAGACGATAAAAAAACACACTTGGGGTTTTGAAACAGTTCCTGTTGTATCATTGGTCTTCAGGCTGTTTCTTGTGATTATCTCGCTGTATTGTCTGTGATCTGCAAAAAGCTGTCATATTGAGAAAATGCACATTGCCATTGATTTCATGGAAGAACTGCATTACAGCGTATCCTGGCTGGATTGCACTACTGGTGTAGGTTACAAGAGCTACTCTAGCGTCCTTCTATTAGAACAGCTCTCCAGACCTTGTCTGATGTGTGCGCAGTGAACGAGGGGAGAGAAGAAGAGCACAGGGTAAGGGAGCACACGGCTTTCCTACCAACTCCCACTCCTGATCACATGGATGTTTATTTCATGTTATGAGCACACAACATGTAAGAGCACTAGCCATGATGACACAGACCACAGTGGGAGCTCATGCTATCCCTGTGGACAGGATCATACATATCTCTCTCGAAGATCACAGCCATGACCATGATGAGCCCTCTAGTGGCCAGCTGGGGAACGACACGTTCCATGCTGACAAGTGGGTTAACAAAATGGCTGACACGTTTAATGTTACATGTCAGGAGACAACTA